GAGACCTGCTTCTGGGTTAGAGATCGAAAAAAAAACGTGTTGAGTGACATTGACGAACACAGGAAGTGGGTTTCCAACGAAGGCAAAAAGGATGATGTCCATGGCCTTCCAGAGGCCCATCCAGCAAAGACCTATTTTAAGGCCCGCGGAAGGAAAAGAAGAAGCCGGAAAACACTTGAGTTGGCTGATGCGAAAGATAGCAAGTAGTTGTTCGCGGCACCGAATGTCGAATGCACATGGGCTCATTGCGGTCTCAAACCCCACCATCAAGATTATAGATGTTGAAGTCACCGAGGCAGTACATGGAAAAGTGTTCACAGAGTCGGTGTGAACCCAGAGGGGTTGAATTGAAGACCTGCCATCAGAGAGGGTGTGAAGAGCGTCGCGGCTCTGGACTGGACCTCAAATTGGACGATGGGGTGCAGAGAGGGAATATCTTGTAAGGGTGGTCGAGGTTGAGGCTCGAAGAACAGATATAAAATGGACAAACCCCAGAGCCCAGGCAACAAAAAAGCGAAGCAAAAGTGACGTGAGACAAGAATGTCGCAAGGAAGATCTTTCTTTTGCCTCAGGTAAAGGTGAGGGAAAAGTGAGAGAAAAGTGAGAGCAGATCTTTATTTGACGATTTTCTGCTATAGCTGTTCTCTGTCTCTCTTTTGGGTTTTCTGTTTGATGTAGTCTTCTCTTTTTTTTTTTTTTTTTTTTTTTGATGCCTAGAGCAAGACTGTCAGTACTGGTGTCTCAAAGGTGCTCGGAGTTTACTTACATATTGGCCAGTCAGCTCAAATCTCCAAGCCCAAACACCCACAAAAAGCTTCCGAGGACGCTTGACGCGGCCCAACACAGCGTTGTACTAGCAAACAAAAGCGCTGTAGGACAGCCAAGAAGGACCTACAGCCCTCCGAAGAGAGGAGTTCCTTCGAGGTATCCCACCCAGACACTTTTGTTGCATGATACATGTCCCACCTCTATCGAAGTATCTAGACATGATGCTGTCGACGGCGACGACGGCGGCGGGACCGCTGGGGAAGAGCGCTGTCATCTGGCGACGTCGTACCACAGTCCGTAGGAGGATCAATGCCCACATCTGCGAACAAGGGGGCCGGAGAAAGAGGACCACTCTGCGAATCACCCTGCTCCGCCAGACGACCAGGGACAAAAACAGGAGCCAAAGCCGACAAAGGCGTCGAGGTCGGAGGCATCGCAAGAGAAGCACTGGAAGCATAAGAGGCTAAAACATTAGAATGTTCAAGTTCCTTATTTTCCTGTCGTGCTCTCTTTGCGTCGCGACGTCTCTTTACTTGCGACGGACGGTTTTTCTTGCGGAAGTACGCCGGGGTGGAATCGGGACGCTCATCATCCGCACCGTTGCCAATCGGACTCTTAACCGGAGCCGGAGAACCGTCATGGTCAGAGGAGTGGAGATCAGTCGAGTTCCAGGGGTGTCGAAAGACCAAGATCGCGCGAGCGTCATCCGTAGTGCTAGCCGGCTCGGTGGTATTGCACGCCGATTTTGGGTCCAGTGACTGCTCATCTCCCAGGTTTTTGGTGATCCGGTGGACCCAGATACCTCCAGACTGAGAAAGAACCGACACATGAGACACAGATTCGGAACAATTGTCTGCAGCCATGACCCAAGAAAGAATATCTTCGTCCGTCTCCGTTGGGCCTGCGAGTAGAAGATCCATCTTCTTGTCAAAAGAAGATGAATTCTCCTCGGCCACAAATTGCACGCGTGCAATCTGTGGCTGACCCTCGAGAACCTTCAGAATCCACTCAATCAAGGTATCAAGTCCGGAGAACAATTGCCATGAGTAAGCAATCAAGGCCCAGGAGACTTGGACGAAACACCAAATACCGACGAACAACAACGTGGCAACAAAGCCATGCCCAGGCTTGGGTCTAGTCGGGTGGAAGACGACAAATTCCTCGGGATCAGAAGATGTCACTCCGTCACCTACCCAAAGCGAGACTGGGATGGGTACCAGGAACGGGGTTGGAAACCATGGCGGCATATCATCAACCAGTCCAGGCTGGACGATGACATCCGTACCAAGGTTAAGAATCAGAAAGTCCGTCGAGTTTGCATACCCACGGCCAACGTGAGAACGCGACTCCCATACAGGAGGCTCGCGTTGGGAAGCGTGTCCGCGCCCGGAGGCAGCAGCGTTCACCAGGTCACAGAAGGCCCAAGACTCCATCGTCAGCTGGAATGTACCAGACAGACGCCGCATGAACGACTGCTCTGGAGCAGTGAACCCCGGGATGGGGAACCACTGACTCCAGAGAGTCATGCCCACGAAGATCCCCAAGAAGGGGATCAACATTTTTTTTATTTTTTCTTCTGTACATGGAAGAGACCAAGGTATTAGCATATGTTTCAATAAGACTCAACAGAAGGAGTACGATATAAAAGGAGGACTTGATCGAAGACTGTTACTTTTTTAAAATAAAAATGAAAACTAAACGCCGGCGAGGCCGGGGACGGGGGGGGAGCAGAAAGGGTCACAGCGCAGGAGACGCTGTTGAAAACTGTATTGGTAACTTGAGAGAAGAGAGAGAGAGAAGAAAGAAAGAGGAAAGTGAGAGATGAAGAGAATTTATAGGAGACCCTGGGTCCCAAAAGGGAAGATACACACAATAGAAGGAACGATGGGCACATTGTGTTTCGACCATTGAACTTCAGGCAGGTGCGACTGCCAAAAAGGGATAGGTATTGTTTCCTATTGAGTTCATTGAGCATTCAATCTACAATGGCAGGAGCTACCGAAAAAGGACCAAACAGCTATTCAGCCTTAAGCTTGGTAAACAGACCAAGAGTCCACTACAGGTACTTGGCTTTTATAGACCCCAACTTGGATTTGAGTTTTGCCGAACTTGAAAGTAATAACCTCAATCATGTGCCCCAACACTCGTACAAGAGAGCGTCTAAGAGACACCTTAGATATAAGACGAAAGTCTAACCGCATACATTGTACGCAGCTGTAGCATGTCAAAATTTCACATCTTGGTTGGCATATGCCGCATGGCTCTAGGACTCTGTATTCGGTGCATCACTAGACATGGGGAACTTTCTCAAATCCTCTGTTGTTTGCCGTAGGTAACCCAATACACTCGGGGTTTTGGCTGTCTAATCTCTCATCTCTCATTTTAGATGGCATTTCGCTTATCAGGTTTGACACCGTCTACCTTCACCTTGTATGAATGGTATACTAGAATGGCAACTCCTTCGTCGTTGAAATAATTATTGCATTGATGTGTCTCCGCGAGGGTTGCCACTGTCACCCCAGGTGAGGACACCAGACTCATTGGGGGCATATACAGTTACTTACTATATCAACCACGCAGCCCTTACCAGCCATCAGTACGGCAATTATCCAATTATCCAGGTTATCTATCACCACATTCAGGTCTACGGATGTCAGGGACGCTCACAGCGCGATGCCCTGTGGCGATGACGACCCCATTTGTCTATTTCCATCGTGCACGATGCCCACAATCGATTTTCAGTCCGAAAATCCTACTACGGGCTCAGCGATCCAATCACAATAACCGAGGTGGAAATTCCACATGTCTATTCGATGGCTGAAATAACCCTCCTGGGGGCCTCCGGGCCTATATCAGAGGAGCACATGGTAAGATGGATTGAAATTCAACTTCAAGGACTGGCGAGCTCTTCGTCTGACACGACCCGGAAGTCCAAATTCCTGGGCTCACAGAGGAAGATTATACTGTGAAATGTGCAGCTCGTTTTATCAATGACGACACCTGCAGACAGCATATACTGAGTGAACAGCATGCGAAACCGATATCTACAACCTCGACCGAAATGACGCCTTCCTACATATCCTAGAAAAGCCAGGCAAGCTTGAAGCCCCGCAAGCCACCCTGAGTTAAACAAAAGCGCCAGCCGACTCAAATGACTTACTGCAATATACGAGTCACATTTTCCCGATCAAGTTTTGCCCCAAGCCGGATAAGACGAAATCTAGAACAATACGTCCCAAATAAATTCGTCGAAACAACACAACCGCAGAAACCACCCTATATGGCAACCAGCCCATCTCTGGGGTGTGCTTGATATTTCCAAACTATTGATATTGAGTGGAATTGGCCCCAGTCATATTATCATCATGGTATCAAAGTGATTTCCGGCTCCTCTCATATGGGCCAGCATCTCCTGGGCCACCCTAATATTCCCTTGTTCGCCCATAAAGAAAGTTACAACGGATTATTGGCATCCCTTCCTCGAGATGGTTTGATACCCTCGCAAGGACGGGTACCTTGAGAACTATCCGGAGAACGACGGGTTTGATCCTTTCTGTCCCACGGCCCGCCGCGTGGCGAGCTCGATAATTTCTGCATATTCGGTACTACCTTCTAGTTGCACGAACTGACTCCTAGAAAATAAACTACCCTCATGGTTAGGCCTTCTTGTCCTGTGTCTGAGAGTGGTGAGAGGAAACTCAACAATATTGACTCTCTACAGCAAGCTAATATGAATCTCGAGTAGTTCAACAATGAGTTGGCCATTTTTTTTCTATTCGTGACAGTATCAGGCACAGGTCCAATGTTTTGAAAAATAATGAATGTCTCAAAGATATTCTTGTCGATGAACACATGTAGGAGATGCCCTTATACTATGATGACTTAATGAAGAGAGCTGTATTAGACTGCTCTCATGTCTCCCACTATCCTTCTTGCACACTTCAAACTATTATTTTACTCCTTCGTTCTTTTATGTTGGCTAATTTTAAGCCCATTGGTCTCAATCATGCCTTTTTATTTGCACAATGGCATTGATTGGGCTCTTTGTTTCATTCTATTCCCATGTTCAGCTGGCTAAAACTAGTATATAAGCATGCTCGGGGCGCTGCATCATGTAGTCCAAAGACAACGCACAACATTGTGCTCTCAATAAACCTGACCTTGTGAGTAAGCACTTTACATATTCTCCCACCTCGGCTAGTTTGGTGAGCTTACCAACCAACTTCATCGCAATGGCTCCCAAGTATCCCGAGTTTGAGCCAGAGGGGGATAGCTTACGACGATGGATGGAGCGTGCCGATGAGCCCGGGTGCCCTATTTCTAGGACTACGCTTACTCTCTCAAACATGGATTCTGGCGTCTGGTATATCCTTGCCCACCCGGATCCCCTTACAGACAAGTGGGAGTATTGGGCCAATACTTTGGGGCTAACAGTTGATGGCCCACAAAACATACAGGAACCTAGCTATCGATTCCAATCGGTTGTTAAAGCCACAGGCGAGCCTACATATTGGATTGGGCGAACGGGACCAGGCGTGATATTCATAGATAATATCAGGAGAGCAGATGATCCCACGAATTTTTACATGTCCGAGTTTGCCAAGGCTTTCTATGAGTCGCATTTTCCCTTGGAAAGCCTGAAGTATGTCTTTATTACTACTATTGTTCAAGAGAGCACCATGCCCTTTCTTCGAGATCATATTTACCTATCCCGGGAGGGGCTTGAGTTTCCGCCCAAGGAGCCACAAACGTGGGAGTCTCCTTCGCCGGAGTTTTGCGGTATTCTTGGAACTCCTATTGGTAAAGTTGTCGCGGCCCTTGTCTTGTGTACATATGGTCAGGGTGTCAAACGCATTCCACGCATTGTGTCATTCCATACCGGCAACCACCGGTGTGAATATAACCTTCGGTTTGATATTGAAGATGTCTAAATAGCCCATTATGCATTACTGACATTCTTAGGGTTTTTTCGCTTATTCTATATGTAGTTATAACATGAATCTAGAAGTTCTCAAGTACACTTTTAATCCATCGTAGTTTTTATTCTATAAATCGCAAAGATAGGAGCACAAAACGGATGCGAGTGTTTAAATCATTTCTATTGACATTATAACCTTGGATTCAAGTATATGGCCAGAAGACGGGATCGAACTTTCGAATTAGGTTTATTTTTTCTGTGATCCTCGGTACCTTATACCCTTGGATACCCTTGGCTGCTGCCTGGTCTTTGTTTTGTTTTCTTTGACGGGTATTTTATTTTCCTCTTCTATTTTACGCTCTCTAGTGAAATATGCTGTTGTTCAGGTCGCCTGGGCTATGAATTGGCTAATAAAGTACATATGTAGTCTCGGCGACAAGCTTTAAACTAAACCCATAGAGCCGGTAGCAAAGCCACGTAAGCTATTTTTAGGCTTTTCTCATCAAATGTGACACATTCCTGTAATGATTGGTGGATAGTGTTTAGATATTGAATGTATCAAAAACATGGCCAATGGAGCGGGAGCGGTCGTTCCACGTATAGAGACAACACATCAGATGCACATCCCGAGACTTGTATGCTTTAAGTTTTTTTTTCTCTTTTTCTTTCATATCCCCCTCTCCTCGATCTCATTTCATCTCCTGTTTGTCCATCTAGCATCGCGAGGCATCTACAGTTCCCAGATTGCGGAGGCTCTCTCCACCATGCACTGACCCACCTCTCACAATCCAAACTGTCTTCGCAACTGAAATTACTGCAATTCCGATTCTACGCTTTCTTTTATTTACAATGGGGCTCTCCAACGCAGCCATCATTGTCATCGTCCTCGTCGCCTGTCTCGCAGCAACTGCATTGGGAGCATCGCTTTTTAAGCACTACAAACCCGCTGATGGAGAGACCCCGTTCAGTCCGGGCTACGAGCAGAAGCTCTACATGGCCGAAGTGCGAGCTCGAGGGTTTGACGGTCTGAGGCAGATATCCTGGGGTGGAAGAGATCTGGAGTCACGTCGTATGTTCTGGTGATCTCTTGATCTGATGATTTCGCTAATTTTGATTGTTGATAAGATCCTCCAGCGGGGCCGAGCTACTATCGTCCCCACACTTACGCCGAAGACACTACCACGAGAGACACAGGGAGCTCGTAGCTTCTCTTTTCCTTTTTCTCATGAATTACATGAATATCTGCCGAAATGACACGGGCGTTACACAGGGGGCAAACTGGCGTTACACGGATTATGGCGAGTTACAACAATGGACTTCTCGGGGAAAACAAAGCACTGAGATGTGAATGGTCTCGCCTGGTTTCAGGAGACCAGGGATATGTTTCGGTGTGTTCTTATTCGGTCGGCCATGGTGGTTTTGATATTTTTTTGTCTTGAAAATAAGACTTTTTATGGTATGGGGCCCTGGATCTGCACGCAACTCATCTCGAAATTATTGCCTTATGGCCAAATTGCTTGCATCTGTATCTGATGTTCACGTTAATATTGCTCTAATCAAATAAAAAAATGCAAAATGAAGCAATTGTCCACGGGTGTGATCTGGAGATAGCTCCGAGCTTCAGCTAATGACGTCAAGACTACCCCGAACCTGTCTACCCTCAAATTCATCGAAGACATGTCCAGACCAGTCACTGACTCCAATTCGGAGTGAGATACACAGAACGACAGATGTCAGATCAGGGAGACCCCCTCCACCGGCAGGTCCGCTGTCTCGCGCCCTGTTCAATTTCTCATCACTGTGGTTCATCGTTCCTCAAGGAACGGGCATAATAGCCGTGATCCTCTATCGGCTAAAATACCAATTTAATGGGCTAAAAACCCTCGCCACGATCGTATGGATCTACACCATCGTCCAGCTCGGTTTATTCCTCATCCTCTACCTCTTACGCATATTCCTACACCCAAAACATGTCCTACACCAGCTGCGGAACAAAACCGTTGAAACATCCTGCCTCTGCTGTATCTCCATCGCCTTCACCTCCATCCTCCAGATGGCCGCTCTCAAATACGGAGACACGTCCGGGCTGGCCATCTACATCCTCTGGTGGGTGAACACCGGCATGGCCGTACTCGCCTGTTTAGTGATCCCATTCGTCCATCTCAAGATGCAGCAGTCGGGCAAACGACACATGCAGGCCGACACGTTGATGCCATTCCTTGCGGCGTTGACGTCTGCCGCAGGTGGTGGGGTTGTATGTCGCGTCTCGCATATCAGCCCCCGTCTCCAGGTTCCTGCTATCATCGTCTCCTACCTCGAACTTGGGGTTGGCCTTGCCCTTGTTGCTGCGTTCGATACCGTTATACTCGCTCAGTACTTCGGTCGCACATTTCAGACAACGGACATGGTGTATCAGGATATGATTATGTGCGGTCCTTGCGGACAGGCTTCGGTCGCGCTCCAGGCCTTGGGTGAGGCTGTTCAGGCCGGTAGCTTTGCGGCGTATGATCGCGGTCAGCTGCTGACTGCGAAAGCGGCTGATCCCTTTGCGTTCATCAGCCATTTCTTGGGTCTTCTTATCTGGGGGTATGGTGTTTTTTGGTGGTTCTTTGCTATCCTGAGTATATGTTATACCCTGTACACACAACCTGGGGGCTTGAAACGGTCACGGTTCACCATGTCTGTGTGGTCTGTGGTCTTTCCGTGGGTACGCATGCTGCTCTCTCTGGTTTTCTTGGGAGGTTTTCTAACAATGCTTCGATGTTTCTAGGGTACTTTCACCAATGCTGCTGTTGAATTTGGGACGCTTATGGATTCTCCTACATTCGACGTGTTTTCCACTGCCCTTTTGCTGCTGCTCGTAATCGGGTGGATAATCATACAGATCTTGACACTGAAGGGCATAGTGACAGGGCGAGTATTCGGCCTGGATCACGGATGGAGAAAACGATATGATGACCGACGGCCTGCGGTCATCAAAGAAGCGTGAACCTTAAAGCATCCCAATGACTCCGCTTGGGTTCGCGGACCTCGCAAGTTGGCAGAATACATGTTTTACCCCACACATCTTCGATCACAGGACACTGGTCTACTCATAGTTAACTCCCGGGGTCGGCCTTTCCGAGGTCCCAGGGTACATAGCTACGAACCGGGATACATAAGTACGAACTTCCGCTGACATCATCGAGAGCTGTGAGTCGGAGGAACTTTTGACCGTCAGTCAGGCTTTCGGGTTTCGGGTTTTGTGGCTATAAATTACCTTTTTTTGGAAGTATTTTGTGATCGCCAAGGCTTAGAGCTCTTTCGACTAACGCCTGGTCATGTCTTGCGAGATAATGTACATCTAAGCCGGGATTTCATCATATGGGGTGGCTTTGATTATTTGTTCCTGAGGAGTTGAGGCTGTGAATTGCGACCCCAATCGGGCGCACGGCTCGGAAAACCCAGATTCCGAACATTAAAACGACGATCCACAAATCCTATAGTCAATGTACCTATAAAGTATAGAGTATGTAGTGGATAAGGACCACTTGTGTCTTAAAATATTACTTCCATGGCCTCGCAAAAAAGGAATTGTAGATGCCTGGCCTCAAGACTTTTGAAACACGGCATGTAAGAACTTTATACTTTGTGTCCAAATGTCCCAGGCAGCCAAGATATGTGTCTCTTTATACCTAAATTGCCCGTATTCGTACTGGTTTTAAGATTTTCTGGACCTAATTTTTTCGCTGGACCCAGTTTGCCCTGGCTCGTGCACATTTATACGAGTACGGCGGTATGGCCAAGGCTGACTAGCTATTTATTATAAAACCGTTGAGACCTTTTAGCCCTGAACTTTTAGCTCTCAGGCTTTTATCCTTTTCTTTCAGTGCTTGTCTTGATCCTTCAAATCTGGAAACGCGACAAGATGTATGACTTCGCCATGGAATCCCCGGATAGTATGCCAAACTATGATAGCGATACAACCAGCGAAGAACGGTATGTAAGAACACTTGTGTGACAAAGAAGATGGCATATCAGTTTCTTTCATTCTATCGAGAGTTGTGTCTAACTCATCCCCAGACCATCATCTCAAACCGTCAACACCAAAATCCAGGCGAAGTTCCAAATAGCTCGGCCGCCCCCGAAATCAAGTCAACTACTTCGACTCAGCCCCAAACTACTTCTTCAAATTCAACAACTATCTCCAAATCACAGACCAGTGCCTGTACTAGAGATATGGCAGCCATCACTCCGCAAATCAAAATTGACAAAATGTTTCCCTCAACGCCCAAAGCTTGGCACAAAGGATATCTACGCAACACTCAATGAACCATATATCACCAATAAACAGCAAGAGAAACAAGGGTATCCCCAAGAACAAGATCCACAATCAAACGGTATCCAAGACAAAGATATCGTGGCCGCAATGTGCCAACCGCCAAGCAACAACAACAACCCCACATCATCAATCCACTTCCGCGACGCAAAATGCATCTGGCAAGCTAGTGCCACCTCAGCAGGACCTGAGAAAAGCAGTTATTACAGATTTGTCATTAAAAATGGGGAAATCACAGCCTCCCCCGAACAGGGCCGGATGATTATGCAGTGGGAGAAACGGGCAGTCTCCACAGATGGAAATAGGGCATCCGGGTCTTCAGATGACGAACACTTCGTTCTTCTGGCAATTGACCGCAAGGCACGCCGGAAGAGTCGTATTGCTACAATGACTCCAGGCGGGCTCGATATTACAGTGAGGAAGAGTTCGATCTTGGATCATCTTCGGACTTGTTTGGCGTTGACAGAGCCTGTTTCTGAGGGCTCAACGGATTTCGAGACTTGGTTGTACACTCTTGTCTTGACGTTGGGGGTGACGGTGGCTTCGCAGGAAGGGTGGTTGGGCTGATTGTTTTTGATAACCTAATGGAAAATGCATCTACCTTGAACAGTTTTCACATTCTGCGTCTCATTGCAGCTATAAACAGATGCGTCTCTAGCTACGTACGATAGAAGAAAGGAAAAGGAAGAGAAAGAGAAGGGGGTAAGATCGAGCGGGCATACTTGCAGGTGGAGACATTTCACATGCCCAAACCATGGATACGCCTAGGTTAGATACAAGGTTGGAAGGATCCTCGATGCCGTCTCTACCAAGTAGTCAACCCCTCTTCGAGCGCTTTGATCTGCAATGCCAGTAGGCGCGAGTAGTATCGGCTAAGAGCGAGGTTTCCGCCCATGAACCAGAATCCGGGGTGACCACTCCGCCGCCAAATAGTCCGCATCTCACCTTCCTTATCGAGTCCCCAGATATCGCCAACTCTGTCAGCGACCTTATCGCCAAAGATCACACGAGTCTCGGTTCTCATATTCTGATACCCAGTGGCGAACACGATTTCATCGGCTTCAAGCTCCGAACCATCCGCAAATCGGAGTCCGTGGGGAAGGATTTGGCTAATTTCCTGGCCATGCTTCACCTTGACCTTCCCATCGATGATGAGCTGGCTACCGCCGACGTCAATGTAGTATCCCCCTCCGCGCTGGTAGTACTTCATCAAGAGACCGCTGTCCGATGGTCCCTTGTCGACCATGAAGCCTGCCTTTTCCAGGCCTTCAATGGTCTTTGCGTCGTTTTGATTTATAAGTTTAGTGATTTTGACTTGTTGCGCTTTGAATAGACGTGATGGAATGCTCCACAGATAAAGATCGGCGTCTTCGGTTGGGGGACCGGTCGCATCATAGAGCCCTTTGAAGGCAATTTGCAGGGTAGAGTCAGACGATATCACACAGGTGGAGCTTCGCTGCACCATGGTCACATCATACCCTTTCTCGACAAAGTCCTGGGCAATATCATTTGCCGAGTTACAGGATCCAACGACAACGGCCTTTTTCCCCTTTGACTCGGAATTTGCGCCGGGATGCTCCGAGCTGTGGCACATGCGATCTCCCTTGAAATCCTCCATGCCTTTGAAATTGGGCAGGTTTTTCTTGCCAGAGTGGCCAGTAGCTTGAATGATGTGGCGTGGGTGCAAGGTGCGCGTCTCGGTTCCGTTGTCTGTCTTGCGCTCGAGAACAACCGTCCATTGCTTCTTGTTCTCATCCCAAGATGACGACTTGAGCTCGGTTTGGGTCCAAACATTGAGTTCTCGGAACTTGACGTAGGTTTCGAAGAAATCCGCCAGCTTATCTTTTGGTGTATAGATGGGCCAGTCAGGCGGGAAAGGTAGGTATGGCATGTGATCGTACCACACCGGGTCGTGGAGAACGAGCTGGTGGTATCGCTGACGCCAGTTGTCTCCGACTCTCTCTTCTCGGTCGATAACGAGGGCGTCGACCTCAAGCATCTTGAGACGTGCTGCGGCAGTCAAGCCACCCTGGCCAGCACCTTCATTTGTCAAGTCAGTTTTCATACTTCTAAAAAAAAAAAAACCACTTCCTCGGCACATACCAACTATCAATACTGCCGGCTCCTTTCCCTCAAAATTGATCTCATCACTACGTCGATCTTTCCAGTTCTTTCGACCTTGCTGCTCGCCATGTCGGACTCCAAGCGGCCTCTCTGTGTTCTCTTCGTGGCCCTTTAACCTAATCATGGAAGTGAAGACGGTGAAAATGTACCAGTTGCCATCCTGTTGCGCCAATCGCATAATACCATTTCCCTGTCCATACTCGGTGGTGACCTTGAAGGAAAATTCGATTCCGAAAACATCACCAAAGGCATCAATGGGGGCCTTGTGTGGGGATTTGGCGTCAGACGATCGGTCGATTTCGATTTTGCTCGGTGGCGCCTCCGTGACAAAGGCAGCGATAGCTTGGTTTCCCTCGAGGGTGCGGAAATCCCACGAATAGCACAAGTGGTCGCGCCAGTAGCAATTCTCGAGGAACAGTGATGCAACTGTTACCTTGTCTCTAGCTGAGAGACCCAAGTTTAGCTGGCTGACTATGTTGTCTGCAATAGCGTCTGGGTCTAAGGGAAGATCCGACTCGGACATGGTCTTGGGGAATTGACCGAGTTCGATGTTGCAGGAACCTGGGACAACTCGCTCTCGTGATGGCGGTTCATTGTAATTTTCCATGATTTGGGTCATTTTACTTGCAATTGAAGGCACTGGGACCTGAGAAGAAGTATAGAGATGCAATGGGATAACCCCTCGGTTCTTATTTCACAGCCCCGCATTTTGACCGACACAGAAACTGCAAACATTAATTTACATGTATGAGAGTGGACAATTAGCATCGTCTGTGATTTGCACAGAAGACGGGGTTAGTTTACCTAGGCCAGGCCCACTAGTCACGTCAATTCCCGGGGTCTGTATATATTAATACCAGGCACATCTTAGTTCGATAGTTCATCTATAATTCCCCGCCTTTACTTAGGTGGTATTCAATTGATTACTTTAGATTTGGATTCATGTTAGAATTCAGTTCAACATTGGACCGAAAAGCCTATTTTAGTACGTAAATCTTGTCTTAGGGTTATCTCAACGTACCTAAACAAAAGCGATCAACTCTTGGTGTGACATGTATAATTTGTTGTCAACTTAGCTGATGGGATTTTGGGAGATGCTCGGCTGTTGTGTGCGACTGCCTGTTGCGACAACCAGCGGTGTGATATATATATATGCAAACAAACCAAGCTATTTGCCTGACACGCAATGCTATACATGCTATGCCCGAACATGTTCTCTGTTTGTCAAATTGTTATTTAAAGCAGCCAAAGAGGTTCTTACCTCCGCTGGATGTTGATGTTTTAAAATAATGCCTAAAATTTAGGTCATTCAACCAAAGAAAGTGCAAGAAATTAGAGAACATTTTTCTAGAAATATGTTGCATAATAGTGAACCACTATACATCAACTAGCATCATTGGTCTAGTGGTAGAATTCGTCGTTGCCATCGACGAGGCCCGTGTTCGATTCACGGATGATGCACAACAATTTCTTTTTTGTTTTTCGCTATTCAGTGAAGTGATTTTTTTTTGATGCTGCATTTGTATCTTTGCATAGAAGGCCCGAAGTTCAACTAGTTCTCTACTTTAATCCGATCAAGTAAAACGGTCGCGTCATGTTATGCGAGTTTTCAAAATTGGCACCCTGGGACACCATTACGGGAGTTTGTTTTAGTGAAGACAGATGCTACCCTGAGTCTCCCTAACTAATTCTTTTGATAGATTAACTAGTTTTAGAATTTTAGTTTTTGATTTGTGCCTGTTAATCTCACTCTGCCAGAAAATGAAACACATCCCAAAAAACCAATGAAAACTATCATACCCTGACTGTAGGATTTCAACATGAAGGATATAATAAGAGGATAGTCAACTTGTAGAAGCGATTGTGTTTTCTGATTATACACGATTAGATACTCAATTCTTATTCGAGGATCGATTTAATATGTGTACATGTTTTATATGCTATGACAACCACCGAGGAGATGCTGAAAGATGCCATGCATACGTGTAAACCCTGAGTAGAATATGACTGGAGAAAGACGCACGTAGTGTTTGCTCCTCCCATCATGACCTTGGAGGCTTTAACTATACCAGCGAGTTTGAGCCTTTTTACATTTAGAGTACCTATGTATGGTTTTACAATATCTACAGATATAGGGATTCGGAGAAGTGCGTGGGAAAGAACCTTTGGATGAGTCTATGTAAAAATCATCCGCTTGAACTCCCACAAAGGCAAGTGGTCACAAGCGGAGCTTAAGGCGTGATGCAACCAAAATCCGCTTTGGTATTCGGTCCATATAGGCCCTGATAAGGTTTCCATTATAAGACTTTCTAGCCGAGGTGATAATTTCCCGTTGGAGCGTAATGGTCTTTTTGAACATCATATCAAATAATTATTGGCACAATTAAAGCCTATCCCAAGATAAATCTATACTTGGCAGTGTATGTAGTGCAGGACATCGCGTATATATCGGAACTTAGTCTAGAGACATCACGAAACCCCTAATAGATTGAACCCTTCTATTTCACTGGGAAATTGGACTTAATAGCCCCGAGTCCCCCGTGTTCGAAAAGCGGGGAAAGTTTTGTACTCCTTTTACTCCTTACGATTCTGTCAATTGCTCCCATGTTGATAATATCCCATACTGCATCAAATATGTCGGTGGGAATATGACCTGAAATCCTCATGACTCGGGCCCATCGTCACCTCCTAGGCACCTGCCTCGGGGCTTTCCTGCTACTTCTGCTTTACCGGTATCATCGCACAAACGGGATCCATCTCTCGACCCCTCCACATGATGCACCTGAAGTCACTCCGAAGGTTCGAATCAACCCGAAATATCTATGGAGAAAGCTGCCCGTACGATACCCAGTTGTTGAAGTCCAGCCATTACCTGTCGTCACACTGCCCCAGACGCTACCAAAGGTCCAACTGGCAGACTTCAAAGTATCCCATCTCATTTTGGACCGCCAAGCTAGCAGACGGTCGGCCGCAAAACAAGCCTTTGAACGATGTTGGAAGTCATACCAATCGCTTGCTTGGGGTGCAGATGAGCTTGCGCCTTTAAGTGGTAGCCCTGAAAATAAATCGGGCGGATGGGGTGCTACGCTAGTTGACAACCTTGACACATTGTGGATTATGGGCATGCACGACGAGTTCAAAAAAGCCGTGGCTTCGGTCACGAATATCAAATTTGAAACTACACAGTCGCCCGAAATCAATACCCACAATGTCAACATTCATTTACTCGGAGGCCTGCTGGCGGCGTTTGATCTCAGTGGTGATCGGAAATTGCTGGAAAAATCTATCGAGCTAGGCGATATGCTTTACGCTGCCTTTGATACCCCGAACAGAATGCCCATCATACATTGGAACGCACATAAGGCTGCCCTCCACGAGGAGCAGCTCGCAGAGGAAGATATACTTGGTGCAGAACTAGGCTCGTTTGCATTGGAATTCACAAGGCTGTCTCAGATTACCGGTGACCCAAAGTACTTTGATGCGGCCCATCGAGTGATGAAATTGTTCGACAGACAACAGAACGCCACCAAGCTCGCAGGTCTGTGGCCTGTCTCCGTGAATGCTAGAGAAGAGCTTTTCGACGACAATACCTTCACACTAGGTACCGAAGCAAGCTCTCTGTATAGGTCGTTACCCCTGGTATACGCTTTACTAGGAGGTCAAGTGCCCATGTATCGCAAGATGTACGAGGACGCCATGCTCACAGCTGCGGCCCATAGTTTATTCCGACCAATGGATCCTGAGGGCAAGAACGTGCTCATGTCTGGCACTACTCGAGTAACCACCACAGAGAATGGGGATCTGCAAACGCACCTAGAGGCACAAATGCAGTACCGATCTTGTTTTGCGGGGGGTATGTTTGCACTAGGAGGCACACTACTCAACATCCCCACCCACCAAGAAATCGCCCACAAATTGGTTGATGGATGCATATGGGCTCACCGGGTCATCCCACTGGGGATTATGCCCGAAACCTTTGATGTGGTTCCATGTGCATCGCAGACAAACTGTCCATGGAGCGAGTGGCTCTGGAAGCAGGAGGTCTGGAAAAAGGCGAACAGCCTCGAGCCAGAACCAAATCCAAATCTCAACGTCAATACCTTCATTAAAGACCACCGTCTGCCCAAAGGGATTGTCGGAATCCCTAACACTGCTTATAACTTGCGCCCGGAAGCGATCGAGAGTATGTTTACTCTCTACCGCATCAGTGGCCGTGAGGATCTGCTCGATACAGCCTGGGATATGTTCCAGGCAATGCAAAGTGCGACGCAGACGAAGAATGGCAACGCGGCCATCGTTGCCGTCACGGATGAGGGCAGTGGGCCGACCCTCATTGACTCGATGGACAGTATGTGGATGTCGCAGACCATCAAATATTTCTACCTCATGTTCAGCTCTCCAGACCTGATCAGTTTGGATGAGTTTGTTTTCAATGCTGGAGGACACCCGCTGAAACGCCCCAAGGCATCATGACAAGGGCACTTCAAGGAGGCGCGTTTGTTTTGTACCACTATCGCTCTTTTCCTTTTTGACATATTCGGCTTGCTGCTCTGAGGGTTTGATGACTGGATTATTCATCATTGTATCATAGTGTTTTATTGTGTACAAAACGAGGTGTTGTGGTTGGCTAGAGCCCAAATCCTTTCTCTAACCAATGAAATCGGTCGAGAGGCTCTATCAGCTAGAGATATTTGATTTGTGTGTGATCTGTATGAGTTTAGACGTGAACAGATGTGAACAGATGGGGACAACGCGACGCGATTTCCCGCAAGATTCCCCACTTATGCCTGAGGCTTCACAGGATGTATAATATCAAATCCTGGTAGGATTGAGGCTGTACATAATTCCTCTAGATCAGCCTGCTACACCCAATGATGTGGCGCAACTCGGGCCCTCTTGTGCTAGTTCAAGCAACTAGGAGCCTAGCGTGGGGTTGATGCGCAGTGGCACACATTGACGCATCTTGACTCATAAATTTAGAAAGATAAAATGGATGAGATTGGTCTAAGACAACAGGTACCAACCCTATTTCATGTGCATACACAACATGACTACCATCGAATCCACAAGGCTGCGACCAGCCCACCAACCAACACCGACATCCACTCCCCTATCCATTCTTGACGCAACAGTCGCGCGCTTCTCTCCAACCGGAGGAATTTGGATTTTCGATCAAGCTACAGGCTTGGATCAAAATACACTGACCGATAATCTACGAACTTCCTTCATTGAAACTCTATCAAAATTCCCTCAATGGGCAGGCCAACTCCAATGGGCACCTGTCAACCCCACAGGACCCCACACAGAGCGTTTCAATCGTCCATTGATCGTATACGGGACTGATACCGATCCAGGTGTTGAATGGACAGTAATTAAGCATCCCATCCGGGCAGATGAAATTGTCCCCACAGCGGAGGAACGGGCTTCATCGACTACCGGCTCCCAACCCGGAGCATGGGCAGGCGATGACTTCAAACAAAGTCTCTTCATATCGCCCAACCCACTGGCATTGGCCAATCTGCGCGACTATGCCGGCCTGCCGGGGATGCAAGTCCAAATCAGTCTTCTCCAGGAAGGAGGCTACGTCATCGGAATCAAGCTCGCGCACTGTCTAGCAGACGCACAGTCTTTGATGGTATTCGTGCATCTATGGGCATATAACAGCAAAAAGCAATTCGGAAATCAGCCCGAATCCCCGTTGATGGGCGAGCCCGTATTCGATCCCGCGTTGTTGGACAGATGCGCCGCGGGCGATATCGATAGCGCCGAGCCAGATCAAACCCTCGTGAACACGGCGCGCAAATTGCCTTTGCACCGGTATAGCTGGTGGAATTACACTGACGAGGGCTACCCACCGTTCCTAATACCGACGACCGAGAACTCCAAGCCGCCCCCCGCGGAAATCGACCACAAACGAATTTCACCCTCAGAACCAGCGCCCTGGCTTTCCTGGGATTTCTCCAAAGGGGTCAAATACACACTGTTGCACTTCACAGGTGCAGAGCTAAGAGAATTCCAAGCTGTGGCCCTCGATACCCCAGGGAGTCGACGTGATATCTCTCGACTCGACACTCTACTCGCACACCTGTGGGTAGCCATTACGAAAGCACGCGGGTACGCCGACTCTTCAAGACCCGTATATATGAATTTGACTCTCGGCGTACGACCACGTGTTTCGCCCGCTCTCCCTGATACCTTCATCGGATCGCCGCTGTTCTTAACTTATGTCGGTGGACCCGCTTCCTCAGTATGTCAGGAAATATTAGGCGAGACGGCGAGTCGGATCCGAAATACGATGAAAGGATTTACGGCTGATGCTGTGGGTACGATGCTGCATGATGCTGCGCATGAAGTGTCGCCACAGCGGCTGTGGCAGGCGTTCTTGGGGTCTGAGCATACGATTGTCACGTCGTGGTTGCGGCTGCAGTTGTATGAAGTGGACTTTGTGGGCGGAACTAAGCCACGTTATGTGCATGCAATTATGCCGAAGATGGATGGGTGTGTTCAGGTGATGGATAGTGGGGTTCAGGATGGGGGGATGGATGTTGCGCTCTATCTTGATGAGGTGGCTACAGGGCGGTTGTTTGACCGTTATGTTTAAATGTATTTATAATGCTCATTTCAATGGAATCACAGCAGAATCACAGCAGAGTAGCAATGCTTAGGATAAATATTTGGGGATAAACATGTCATAATGAGGTCAAATTTAATTGTAATATAGCAACCAAAAAAAAAATAAGCAGATGGATCTCAACCCTCTTGAAATATGACCATCACTGAGAGCCGTGTCTTATACCACCATCTTATTTTACACTAGCCTTACTCTTATCAGGATGGCAGGAATAGACACACGGGATGACTACCTCGAGCTTGGGGGTAGTTTCCTTAAGGATCTACCCCCGTCAATCAAAAGATATCCATACGAAGGCGCGGATTCTTTCTTTCATATCTTGAATCTCCTACCCTCAGGACATGACAGAACTGAATTTGCTCTGTTCCATGCGAGTCGTGAAACGATTGAACACTTATTCTCCCCAATCAACGAAGGAACTACCATCACTTCCCATTGCTCATCATATGATCTGACCGAAGAGCTCTTCCTCGTCAAAATGCCTTCAACCGGACATTCGGTTGCATCCGGTGCCGTTAATCTCGCCATCACCGAACCCCTTCGACCAATGGGGCTCTTTAATAGCCTTCACAGATACGGCAATGGAACTGTCAAGGGGAGAGACAAGGGAAAGGAAGGTGACCATGGCTGGGGCCCTAGAAGGCCACCACCTAGATACGCAAAGCGCCCTTCAGTTGCTCTAGAGGTCGCCTACTCAGGGTCCGATTCAAAATTGAACTCAGATGTTCGATTCTGGCTGAATCCAGATGATGGAAACGCGAAAATATGTCTTACTCTACAGATCGATAGCGTAAAGCCAAGAATCCGTATTGAGAAATGGCAACTCCAGAACGGCAGACCACATCGCTCCCAAATTATTTGGATTACCAAAGTGTCAAACCAGATGGGAGTCACCAACCACCCTCTCGTCATACCATTCGAAGATTTGTTTCTTCGACCTCCATCCACACCCGCCGAAAGAGATATTCAAATCTCAAAGGAAGCACTCGAGGATGTCGCAGATAAGATCTGGGATATGCAGGGCCTGTAGACTGACAATGTTGTCGTTTCTGTGTTTTTCTCAAAGAGTTCTTCCTTATATGTCTGCCTCTCTTGCTTATGACCGCTTTCTTTGAAATAGGGAGCGAGCGCAGCAACGGAAATGCACGGAGCTTTCTATAAACCCCATGACATCAACCTAGATCGAACTAAATCATGGGACATTAGTAAGCCAATAGGAAGCTCAGGATATGGTGCTGTAGGCAATAGTATATCTAAATAACAAAGATAATTACACATATAGACAATATCTAAGCACTCATTGAAAGCGCCCGATGCCGTGATGTTCGTTTCCGACAATCGGCATCTCGACTCTTGCGCCCCATTCGACCAAGAGACAGGCTTTCAAGAGTCTCGGGCTTACCACCCCAGAGCTTAGTTTTGCCATTCCGCCTTTGCTGAATAGGTGGAATCCAGAAGTGGGTGACTACCGCGCCAAGAACCATGCAGGCGCTGAAAACAAGGAGAACAATGCCATGCTTGCGGGTTGATTCGTTGCCCGGCCCTGAGCCAAAGTGGTAGTACGCCGAGAAGATTTGTACGAGGATAGATCCCAGTTTTCCCGCCCCAGCGCTGATGCCGTGGCATGTTGCGCGGTAACGTGTTGGAAAGATCTCGGCGGGGATCATATAAGTTGTTGCATTAGGGCCTGTAGGTAGTTGGTTAGAATGACTTGATGCGTCGTGCGCTGGGTTCGACTCACCGAAGTTGAACATGATTTGCCCAACAATATACAATGCCACCACAGCAGGAGGGCCGGAATAAAGACTGACGAACATGGTTCCCAGCGCGATAAACAGAGCCGCCAGGGCAAGGAACATGTACTTCTGCAATGCAACACGATCCAGCTTGTGGGCAAAGATAATGAGCAGTATGCCACCGACAAAACTTCCGATATTGAGCACAATCAGTCCGCGCACAGAGGTATCCAGGAACATTTGGAAGATATTGGCATTTGGTGTCTCGCTGGTCATCCAGGTCGGTGCCGCCTGGGAGATATGAAGTACACCCCACGTCTTGGCTAAGAATTGAGGGCTCGACAGTCCAATACCGTAGAATCCAAAATCAAGGAGGAGCCATGCAAGAGAACAACCGGCCAGGCTGCGCCAGTTCCCTTCCGTCCAGAAGTACCGCACGATGTCGGTACGTGCCAAGCGCCAGTGAGAGTTGAGGGTAGCGGGAGGTAAGCGGGTGTACTCATCGTCGTCATCATGATCAGTGATTGAACTGCTAGCAATGGATGAAATCGGGGGTAATTGAATGGCGCCACCGGCACTGCATGTAGCAGTATTTCCCCAGCTCACAGAATCAATCATACCGGGCGTATCACTGAAAAGCGTGGTTGCATCAAACTCCGCAGTGACGGGATCATCCACGATATCGACTAGGTAGCGAGGGCTCTCTGGGATGGCGAACCGGAAAAGAGTAGCGACTGCACCGGGCACGACTCCGATGGCGATCACCCAGCGCCACATTATATCAACCGTGCGGGTGATATCTTCACCGGGGCTGCTATTCCCACGAGCCACCGCGATCACAACTAGTGCGACAATGTTACCTGCGATCTGACCGAGTGGCTGCATGAAGAAGACGGTGGCCATCATGCGGGCTCGATGCTTGGTAGGGGCAAATCTGACATTTCAAAGGTCAGTCTCTCCACGATATTGAAGATTTCGAGATCGATCAACCTACTCTGACGTGATCACTGCGCTGAGTGGATAGTCCGCACCCACTCCAATACCGACACAGATTCTCCACCAAATAAGCCATGCATAGACGTTCATGCTGCCGTCCACGCCCGTCGAGGACATGACCACACCCAGGGTGGCTGTAATGAGGAGGACCAATTCAACACCGTACATCTTCTTCCGCCCATTCTTATCGGCTAGAAATCCAAATGCTACCTGCCCCAACAGGGTTCCGCCAAGTGTTGCGATATTGATGCACGTGAGTCGTAATGAGGAAGTGTCGTCTCTCCAGTAGACATAGGAGATCATCGGCAGGGCTATGTTACTGGCAAATAACTATGTCCAGTATTAGTTGCCGTATATGCATCGAGTACACGGTTTCAATCTGTTGCAGAACGTGGGCTAACGCACTGTGTAACCATCGAGAAAGAACCCAAGACCAGCGACCAGCACGACAATCCATTGAAAGCCCTGCCGGTCGATAGTCTCATAGATCTGTCGCATGCGCACATACCGATCCTATAATAGAATTGTTAACGATTTTGCATCCCATGCGGCTCGGGAACTCTCCATACTTGCTCATGGTCGAAATCCCGTGCACGGTCGGTTTTATACAACCGGGCATGGAACTTGCCCATGGTGAATATTAGATTGAAAGATGAAAATTGGAGTGTACATGTCGTAGAATATCAGAAGAGATACCGTGGATAATAGAGAGGGAACATTAGACTTGAAAGTTACAACCCTGCACGCGCTAATGCGGGGCTAAGTGGCGACCGAGCCAGAGCTTTGGCGTTGTTGGCTCCACGTGCGGCGTCTCCTGTGCTTGACTTGTCGACATCCCCTGACATTGACCCACGAGCAACCCACGAGGGTAACTATAAGACATGTAGAACCTTGGGAAATTACGAATGATTATATTTCTTGGCTCTACCAATGAGCCATTTTATCAATTGATCTATTTTGGCAATTCTATCAAAAGTAACGCCCGGGTATATTTGGTATTATGTGCATGATATCTGGCCCCCAATTTGCCGAACGCCATGCAAGATTCATAAGATGATTGAGGGATTATGTGGATCTGTCCACCCTGAACTATTCATCCAATGGTCAGGTCGTATGATAACATCTGACAAAATGCTGCGCAGTCTAGAAAAGGAATAAGCGATAGTCCAAGATGGCAGAAACTATAACGTGCACTGACCATCGTCGTCGAGAAACTGAACCGTAAAATTCCTCATTTGAGACAGAATCTCGAAGTTCGGATTCAGATCAATTATAGCCGGCCGGCCGGCCTTTTTTGGAGGTTTAATTGCCGCAATACAGTTTACTAGCCGAGTTATTAGCCATGTCACTTTTACCTGGAGATATGGGCCTGAATAGAAGTGAACTCACGGGGAATGGAAACGTATCGTTTGAGCTCCCTCCGTTGCGAGTTGGAAAAGAATAGCATCACTCGTTTCCCGTTATGCCCGCGAAGGACGCGAAGATTCTGGCTGATGCACTCTTCACCTCGGCCTTTGGACTTGGCCTCGGCCATTCCCCCGATAAACACCAACTTGGAGCCGAGTAACAGTTCTTGAAATCGTACACAATCTGCCGATGTAAGCAAATGTTTACTCCCCAAGGTTGATCGGTCGCGTACCATCCCAGTGATCAAATTTATATGATAGCTGCGTCATAAATATCGTGTTTGCCGTTTGGACGGTTTGCTGGTCCATAAAGGACACGCGAAGAGGGTAATCGTTGCCCGATTTTGGATGCTCTAAGTGAGGGACTGGCAGTTTTGTATTTGAGACTATACAGGATCGGAATCAGCATTTTATCTTTTGAAGATCTGAGAGACAACTCACAGGCGTGGACAAAAGGTGTTTGCTGGCCTAATCCTCCCCCGAGTTCGAGACATCTCAATGCGCCCGTTGAGTCCTTGCAGATATCAATGAATTTGTATTTCAACTTGAATAACTGGCCGTTTTTGACAAACGAACTACCAACAAGTCAGCTTCTTGCCCTAGCTTCTCGACGAAACCTTAGAACCGACATTTGCACGGAGGGAGTCAGCTCGAGTCGCACGACATCATCGTAGTACTGCCAGGATTGCTTCCTCGAGCTGGACCCTGGGGATGTCGCAGGACTCGGGAAGAGGATGCTCGTTGACGCAGACGACACGGTGGAGGCAGATAGGGTGCTTTGGCGTCGATCTACCCACTCCTGGAAGTCTGGAGAGAACGAGTTCATTCTGTCTTATAGAGCTAAGGTGTAGAGACGACGATCGGGCGGATCCCGTCAGAAATAGATCGGCCAGGAACAAAAGTGGCATGTTTGATAGAATAAAAGTAAATATACTTGAACCTGACAAGAAACAGAATACATACAATAATGTGGGGGGTGGAACGTGCTAAAATGGCTGGCTATCAGATCACCGCAGGTTCCATCGTTCTTTCCATGTGTTGGATCAGCCCCATAATTGTATGTGGATTTTTATGACCTTTTACGTTGCTTTTGCTGCTAGATCTATCGGTCCCATAAATGTACAGAATTTTATTTTACGAGTTTATGAGGAACCATGGAATCTACACCTGTACTTTGATCCCTTGGAATTGCCCTGGAATATATCTTGAATTGGAAATGCCGATCAGCATAGTTCCGATGCCTATAAGCCGGTCGCGTAACTCGGCCCATAAAAAAAAGCTATAGCAAAAGCCATGCCAATGCCGAGGTTTTACCAAATATAACTGGTGATTGGTCTCAAAAGCACTGCACAACTCGGTAAGATACTGAAGGTAATTGCTCCTTTGGCATTACTCGGACCCAGGGCCAGACGTGTCTGAACGATCCCCAGCTGAGCTTTCTGTGTCAGCCGAGTCATATTTTTCAAGGCGTGGAATATGTCCGGGGACTAGTTAGCCCCATTTGTACAAATAAAAGGTCCGAGTCAAAGTAGTAGATCTAAATTGTTTCATACTAACATGCCCACGCAATTGGTGCACATTACATGGGGTGTAATAGGATAATCTTCCAATCACAGAGGCGATCTGGGCCATTAGTTGGATCCTAAGAGAACTATATGATCGTTGTAGCTAATACTTGATATAGGTTTATGAGTATGATATCGACCGAAATATTAGTATAAACCATTTTGAATTACAGCTTAGAGTTTGGGAATATCCTATCGTCTTCCCAAGGAAATTGTCGACATTTTCACCATCGAAAGGCATGTGGCATCCCCAAGCTTTTCTTTTGGCCCTGATTCACAGGAACCTCGTGCCAGGGCCCTCGCTCGCCATCGGCAAATTGTCAAATGAGCCAGGAGCACAGAATATATTAGAGTCGAGCCATATGGAATGAAGTGAATGGAATTGGATGGAAGATGGCCATGTTTGCCTGTTAACATTGACAGCACTTTTTTTGATCTCAGCATTGAGTCTGCCCAGGTCAGAGCAAACGAAGGTGACATGATAACGCGTCAAATCTCCCTCAACTCTATTGAAAAAGATATACCAGACCTTGGACAAATGGTTGAGTGTTGCCTATCACTTACAGTGTTAAAATCGTTCGGGGGCATCGTTGGATTGTGGAATTTATTTTATACCGCTACAAATGGTCTGAAATTCACCTCACTTCCCTCTTAAGGCGTATGTAATATACTCAACTTCAGCGACTCGATAACCAACCACCTCTACTTTGCTGAGGAGGTCAAAGGCCAGTCTGTACCAGGCTGTGATGCTACATATAAAAGTCAGCTCAACAGTAGTTACGAACTCTTGTCATCACTCCACCACACTCACCAAGCTTCTCACCTGACCAGGCGTCTATCTATGCTTTAAAAAAGCATATGTTTCAATTGTCCAACTTCTTACATCTACTCGTACAACTTGCAACCTTCTTACCACCCCAACCGTATCTTTTTAGCATTCAAACTACATCCATCGAGCGTTGTGATCTCTACTCCGTCATATCCAAGGCAAAATCCCCTGAGTCGAGGCTAGTACCAAGACCAATTCACGCATAGCTACACTGACTACAATCAAAATGATCGTCTCCGGCACAAGAGATCCCGGACCTCCATTTGAGGGCGAGCCCGTTTTCTTGAATCCGACTCCAGTTATCGAGGCCCCAGCTCCAGCTCAATTTGGCCTCGGGTACTTTGGTCCTACGTCCGTTGGTCCTGTTTCTTATGACCCTTTCTTATACAGACCGCCGCCAGTTTACCCCGTTTGGTTTGACCTTTATCTGTCGGGCCCTCCTCCCCCATATGGCCCGCCGATCGTAGATTCCTCGCCTCCTGGCTCTGAATCCTTTGCCCCAGCTCCTTTGAACAATGCTTGTACCAGCCTGAGTCCTTTCATGGCAGCCTGTTACCCTAGCGAGCCTAGGGATATTCCAGAGAGCAAATCCCGCGAGTGCCTTGTCGCGTATCGCAAATATATGAACTGGCTTCACACGGTGTATTACTCGTCGAATTCACCCAACGCCTTTGTGCAAGCCTGGAACCAAGCACTCAAAGAGATGAAGGAGGCCTTTGGACGTCCGCATATCCCCACAGTTTTCCTCCTCTGTCAGTTCCTTGCTGCGGTCAGTGTGAACCACAACACCATTCCATGGGTTGATTCGCTCATGTTTGAGAAAGGTTCTCTCCCGGCATCGATACTCGATGAAGCCTTTGACGATTTCCTGGAGTTTGAGGCACATCGACTGGAAAACCAAACGTCAACCCTAGGTAGCCAAGATACTTCTGTTGCCAACTTGGAGCAAACTGAAAGTTTTCCCAAGCAATACTGTCCCTTCCACCAGCGTCTGACCAGACATCCCGTTGAGGAATGCTTTCAAAACCCGCAGAACACGAAGCGTAAGCGCAAGTGGAGGCGAAAACAGGCCCGATTGGCAGCGGCTCTTGAAGCCGAGAAAGAGAGGCTTAGCAGCTCTCAGATGAACTGACTGTCGGAGGGGTAACTGTTCTTTGAACAATCAGGTGAGACTTGATGTCTAGTGTTCATGGCATGAGGAGGCTAAAGTTTTTTTTGTTCTATTGAGTGAAATTTGTGTTCGTTCTTTCATTCTTCGCGTTTACTATTTGCATGTTCTCACAAAGGTGACCTGTCCTTGCGCTGCAGATGTTTTTAAGAAACATCAATATTCACACCCATGGATGCCTGATGCATCAGGTTGGGAATGGCCACCATACAGCTAGGCTAATTTGTTTCTTACACCCTTTCCAAATATAAGAAACCCAACATGAAGCCATATCCATGATTTGCTAGACTTGATTGGTTAGTAAATAATAAGACTATGACACGCAACGATCGAAGAGTTACACTGAATGATTTTGTGCCTTGATGGCCCACGCGTAGCCTATGGGAACGAGGTAAGGGTTGATGCATTTCAACCCAACCACCCCGATGTCGGATATGAGCTCGATATCCAAATCTGAATATGGGAAGTAGGAACAACTAGGGAGATAACAAGCTTAAAGCAGAGAGACATCATACTTGACGCTTTAAATTGGACAGTTTCCGCACGCTGTTCAAGCACGATAGTAACAAATTCCTACTGGCGTATTCAATCGGGTGTGCATGAATGAAGACATTTTAATTGCCACCAGAAACTATCATCTCACCTTGAATATTCTAATTTTGGTTCTGGCGTGCCCTTCGGTGGGATTTGCTCTGTTCAGCCTTAGATGGTGGCTGAACAAACTGCTCGCCTCATTTCTTAGCATTAGTGATCATTCTATTCTAGGTGTAGAGAAATATCAGCTAAGCCATGCATTATATGCAGCCCTATGTTGTAAATGTTGCTCAGTTCAAGAAATATCGTGGGCTCATATGTGAGACAGCTACACCGTATGCACCTTCAGCCCTTAAGCTCCCACCAATGAGATGGGGGACAGGTTTGAAATCAAGCCTGGGTTGACCGTTCAGAGTGAGACCCCAGTCTGTTTTCTTCTTCCCATATGCAAGGTGAATCTATAATAAAGGGACTTCCACTTTGGTTTCCCGATTGACCTTAGCGTCAGGCGGGTGTTCGGGGCTTACAGGTTTGACGATGAACTGTATCTGAGACTTGCAGAGACAAGACCAATAACCATATTAGATACTTTTAGGTGTCGTTGCTATGGCTGTTCATCCCTTTGAGTATATAAATACCCTAGATCGCATCTTGTAACTCTCCATAGGACATCTTATACCATTATCATCTTTTCAATCTATCAAAATGAAGTCCTTCTTCTCTATTATTATTTTCTTCGCCGTGGCCATTGCCCAAAGAGCTGCAATCAGACTCCCCACCGAGGATCAGAGAATCAATTCTGGCAAGGAAGTCGTCGTCCAAGTACAGCGTCCTGTACGTTCTAGAGCCAGGGCTACATAGCTCTTCCAACCTCGTCAACGCAATATCTTTTACTGATATATTATTCAGAACTCTCTGAGTCCATCCAAGGAGATGGGTGTAGCAATCGGCCTCTCCTCATGCAAATCCTCGCCTTGCAGAGATGCAGACGAGGTTCTTGGAACAATGCTATACAACGGGCCTTTCAACCCCCAGTACCACGAGTCCAGCCTACCCCCGTATGAGAACTTCACAGTCATTGTCCCAGCCTCGGCTACCCTTGGTAAAAGCCAGATTAATGTCGCTCATGCAGCTCTGATTGGTGTAAGTAGACCTCTTACATTTGCTGAAATTCATGCTGATTGTTGAATTGCAGGCCGGTCCTTCCGCATTCTTGGAGTCGCTCAATCAGACTGTTTTCGTTGTCTAGATTGTTGACAGATCTAGAACCTGAAGTTGGCTTTGTGCTAGCTTCGTATATTTGCTTTTTTCATTCTTGTAAATTGCTTTTGGTGTGAATCTTTTACCGGGAATTTGTGCATGTGCCATGACTTGGATTTTGCTGGTAGATATTTAGATATCGTGCTCATTCTAGCAAATATGTTTTGCTTATATATATAGATATTTCCAACAATACATCTCTGTTGAAGATAAGAAGTACTCTTTCGGGTTCATGGAGACATAGGGACGGCGGGGTGTATAGCAGAGTTATCACTGTTAAACAGATAGAGTCGACTCCATCTACAAGCGAGTTATTGATAAAAAGTACATGATTTCAAGATTGATTATATCATATACGGAGTATGGTATATAGGAGGAATGGGAGTTGGATTGTGTGTGAAATGGAGGTTTTCTGGGTTTCATTGTTCCATTTCCCCCATCAGTGCCTTATTGAACCCTTTGCTCGAACATGATATGATTGGTTTCTTCCGAGTCTTATTGGCATCTCTATCGGGCCATCTATAGACCTCTGTTCATCTACTCTTTGTCCCGACGTGAATAAGACTACAACCTCAATAGGCATCATGTGCGACTACTGGAATTCCCCTCCGGAAAAGAGATCTTTCTCTTCTCTATGATCCCACGGGAAACTGCCATATAGTCACTCGTTAGTTCTACCACGATGGACAGAACCTTCTCTCGTGACTACCACCCCGTCCCGAAAGTGGACGCTGATGGTGACAGCGATGCCACCGTCACAAACAGGCCTCCCCGCCGGGGCTTGCAACAATTTTTGAAACGAAACCTCGCTGCAATCACCATCATTGGCCTACTTATGGTGCTGCTGCTCCTGTTGATGGCCGTAATCACAGCCATCGCCGTGGAACCCTTCCGCAAGGTCCTTGTCGTCAAAGGACCATCCTCCGACTCTCTCGCATACCCCGAGTCACTCGAAGGCAAACGACAGTGCTTGCCGCCAGCCCCACGAGTGAGATATTCGTGCGGCAACTCAACCAAGGAGGCCGAAGCCCTCGGCTGCGCCTACGATCCTCTTGCTGGCTGCTGGCTGCACAAAGAATGTCCGCATGACTTCACGCACGAGTTCGCACATTTCAACAACGGCAAGCCATTTGTCTATTTCTATGATGAGGCTGCCACGCAGCAGATGAAGGACTACACTGAACTTGGTAATAACCCGGACTTCTATTGGACTGCTGTTCGTGAGCATCTGGTTCATTGTCTGTATCTCCTCCGACGAGGACATGATGTCCACATGCGTGGTGCTCGTTTGGATAATATGCTTGGGGATCTGGAACATGTTGATCATTGTACCAACATGTTGGCTAATTGGCTGAGGAGACCGGATCCTGCGTTGGAAGAGATAGGCACGCAGGGACAGACTCATTGTTTCATGTCTTGCGCTTGATTTCATGGGTGTATAGTCCTGGCTTTTCGAATTTATGAGGGTGATATAGGAGGCAATAACTCCCTATCTTAAACAGATGCTGTTGAAGCCTTGGGTTCAAATCTAGATTGACCGGCTGTATGTTTCCCACTATTCTGTTACATATTCTATTAATTTAACATGTACTCCAATTCCAATAGTACGGGTAAAACCAGCTAGAGAACCAAAGTCAAAAGTGTAGGTTTCTAATCTCCGACTCCGAGCTACTACCTATGTCCGGGATCCCGACAGCTTTCACCCTCTCCTACAAAAGCCCTTAATAAATCTACAAATCACTCCCCAGAAAACAATCCCATAATGGCTCCCAAACGTGTCGCGATAGTCACCAGCAGCACGCGCTACCCCCGCCTCAACCCCACGATAACGCAGTATGTCTATGACGTCCTCATCTCCGACCCGACGATCCCAACAAACCACAGCGGAACAACTGATACAGATCCGCGCCACATAACCTTCGAGATCCTCGATCTAGCAAAGCAATCCCTACCCCTCTACGACGAATCCGTCATCCCCGCCAGTCTACCAGCAGCAGACCCCACGCCGCACTACAGCAAAGCACACACGCGGGCGTGGTCCACGGCAGTGCGGCAGTATGATGCCTTTATCTTCGTCACGCCGCAGTATAACTGGAGTATTCCGGCGAGTCTGAAGAACGCGCTTGATTATCTCTTCTTTGAGTGGAAGGGGAAGCCGGCGGGGATTGTTTCGTATGGAGGACGGGGGTGGGGGAAGGCGGCGGATCATCTGCGTGGTATTTTGACGGGATTGCAGATGAGAGTTGTCAGGACGGCACCTGCATTGCCGGTGAAGTTCACTGGGTTGCCTGTTGGGGTGGTGCCGGAGGTGGAAGAAATGGTGCAGTTGGATGAGAGGGACCTTGTCGGGTGGAGGGAGGCTGGGTTTGAAGGGATGATGCGGAATTTGGGGATGGAATTGGTTTGTGAATTGGATAAGGAATGATTTTAGTCTTTGTGTTATATAGAGAATAATGTACAGATGCAGAATCCAAAGAGTGTATGTATTAATATTCACTTTTTATGTGCCTTGATATGCTATATGCTATATGATTTGTAGACATTATGTACTGATTTTTCAAAACTTGAATCTTCTCAGTTAGTGCTGAGAATGTCCTCGCGCGTGATCCCACTGCGTTCACACATGGCACGGAAGATGCCATCTTCCTTGTCCCACAGCACAACTGGTGCATCCATCTCAGCAATGCGACCCTTATCCATAACGCAGATGCGATCGTAGTGGATGATCGTGCGCAAGCGATGCGCAATACACAGCAAAGTCTTCCCATCGAAGCCCTGAGCCATAGTGTGCTGGATCTTCTGATCTGTTTCGAAGTCAACGGAAGATGTAGCTTCGTCGCAGACAATGATACGTGCGTCGCGGACCAGTGCCCGAGCAAGAGCCATCAATTGCCGCTGGCCCAGGGAAAAGTTCAGGCCTTCATCGTCGACGGGCGATTCGAGGGTGAGCTTGTTTATCGGGCGCGCTTTCACCTCACTGCCTGTGACTGGAGTTGTGGTTCCGGTGGCTGGCCCGCTGTGCAGTTCCTCCCCTTCAAGTTCTTGATCTTGGCCGATGAGGTACGCCTTGCGCAGTGCAGACCATAGTTCGAGGTCATTGTGCTCATTGAACGGATCAAGATTCGAGCGGATCGTGCCCTTAAATAAGGCTGGGTCTTGGGGGATGATGGCCAGGCGGGATCGAAGGTCATGGAGGCCGACGGTGGAAATGTCGATGTCGTCAATTTTAATGCTACCCCCTGACAGTTCGGTTAAACGGAATAGTGCGGACATGATACTTGATTTGCCGGCACCGGTGCGGCCGACTATACCAATGCGCTCGCCTCCTCGCACGTCCATGGTGAGGCCCTGCAGGACGAGTGGAAGCCCAGCCCGGTAGCGCATCTCCACGTTGCTGAACTCGATGTGACCCCTTTCGGGCCAGCTAGCTGACACCTCGGCCTGGTGCAAAGGCGCCTCCTCTTCCAATTGAGTACCGTAGTAGTGAACACGTTCTGTGGCGTTCATGTTGTTCTCAACCTCGGCCAGCTGACGAACCGTGAATTGGAGCATCTGTGCGATAGACAGGATATAAGATAGCACCAATCCAGAAATACTGGGAGAGACATTGAACCGAGAAGTGACGACTAGAACACCGACCACGAAGACCATTACGACCGCCACAGCATCGAGTCGGACACTGAGCCAACGCTGATTGGAGAAAGTGAGGAAATATGCCCCGTTCATCACATCGATCGAGTCTCGGATGGTGCGGCGGAATTGGTTCTCTACGCCATATGCTCGGATGCATGCAGTGCCGGTGATGGCCTCACCAAACTTGGCATACACCATTGAGCGCAAGACGGCCTCGTGGCGCTTCATCTCGCGGGCGGATGCTCTGTAATAGTTCGAAGCCAGAAGGAACAAGATAACCAGCGGGACAAGGGCGATGACAAACTAAAGGGGGTTAGCTCCCATTACGAATACCCAAGAAACCTCAGGGGAAAGAGTACTCACATAATAGAAGAACACGATTACCAAGACCATGACAGAGATAATCATAGTCATCGTCAGGGCGTAGATACGCATTGCGTCCGAAAGTTCATTGTCCATCACCTGGATATCCTTCGAGAAGCGGTTGGTGATTCGTCCAAGCGGCGTAGTATCGAAGAAACTCATAGGCGCGCGGAGCACGCGAGACATCGCACGCTGAAGCATAGTCCTGCTAGAGTTCGTACCGCAGGTGGTCATATAAGTCGAGAAAGTGAACATCAGGACAACAACACCGCCACCCAGACCAGCGTAAATTCCAATATATTGGCCAGTCGACAACCCCGGGTACTTGTTAGAGGTCCAGTAGGACAGCCACAGACTAGTCCAGATGTTGGCGACATTCGTAACAGCGAGCAAGATGAGTATGACGATGGCATTGAGATAACTGCCGGAGGCTCGGATATATGCCTTCCAGACACCCCAGCCGACGGAAGCGGTGGCCTTTTCTTCTTGCTGCATCAGGGCTACGGCGGGTTTTGCTGGGGCGGCCTTGAGGCTTGGCCCCTTTTCGTCTATTCCATCCACGACTTCACCGACTGCCTCTTCCTCTTCCTCTTGCATGTCCTCCTGTCGAGAAGTAGACATCAGCCGCTTGAAGACCTCGTTATCGTGTATCAGGTTGTCAAAAGTATCAATCGCATTGATCCGTCCCTCGTCCATGACAATGATTCGATCACATCGGCTGAGAACATGGAGTTGATGCGTCGCCAAGATTCGACAGCGATCCTTGAGCAAACCACAGATTGCCTTGTCCATGATGTGACGACCGACATGTGCATCGACAGCTGACAAAGGATCATCCATGAGCACCATTTCCGCATTGAAATATATGGCTCGAGCGATATTCAGACGCTGTTTCTGTCCACCAGACACTGTGATACCTCGTTCTCCAATCTCGGTCTGGTCTCCATTCGGTAGGATCTCAAGATCTGGGGTCAGAGCGCATGCGTCAAGCAC